AGGAATATGTTGGTCACTGTACAGTGGGTGGGGAGATCAGCAAATACCTTGTCAGATGTGTTAGCTAAGCAAGGGGTAAATAGGGAAGAATTATTTTGGGCTCAGTTGTGATTCTTGTTTTCTTTCCTAGTTTACTTGTAAGTTTCAAGGAGGGGCTGCAGCTCGCGCCTCTTGTTGGGATGATGTATGAACTCACTCTAATTTGCTTCTGAATCAATAAACTTATTATTATTCATCAAAAAAAATTTCAATGGGCCCTGCCCAAGTTGGGCACCTGGCTTACGCACCTATTTAGAATCTTTTCAACTGTTTCTTGCCAGTCTTGAAAGATGCTGACAGAATACATTATGTGTGTGTGAGTATCTATCTATCTATACATACACATTGTATGTATGTATTGACAGTCTTGATGGTCATATTTTTCAAGCCATGTTGTCATGGTAAGATTTTTTGAGTTTTACAGATATGGTCCTCATGGTGATTTGTCCCAACTAATATTATTCCTGCTGCTTATCTAATAATGTGTGGTTTGTCCAGAAATGTATTTGATCCACGTCAAATGCGTATCTCAATTCAAGGAAGTGGAATTTATGTAAATAGGGAAAGAGGACATTGGTGATGATTTCTTACTCTTTTTTGGATCATGTTTACAACATTTACATATTTACACTAAGATGCTTCTACTGCCCTATCTTTTGAATATTCATTTTCTGATTCTGACTTTGCAGTATTGACCCAATTCACATTGATGATCCACTTTTCCCAACAAATAATGTTGGGAGGAACTGTTTTCGCATACATCAGTGCATCAAGGTTTGCTTAATCCATCTTGTTGAATTTATGTATTTGATTCATGGTGACCACGGTTTTGAAATTCATGAGTGAGACTACTTGCTAATGAAAAATTTATGATTTGGGTGTTAAACTAGTTCACTGAAGGGACCACTTGGTTTTGCGTTTATGAGATTAATAACTTGTGTGATAGTTAATATTTATTTGAACAGATACACTAATAGAAAATGTTTGGAAGGAGAAGAAAATATACAAGACATGATGGAAAAAAAATTTGACATGTATTATTTACAAAAGAAAATCCTACATGTTTTCCTTGAAAAAATGTTAGAATTTGGTCATATTACTTATTATGCAAAAGGAATGCAAGTAGTTTTGTAAAATTTGAATGGTTGCTAGTGGATTTCACCTAGAAGATATCTTAAATTGGGCAATCTATGTATTGAGAAACAAAAGAAAAGAAATGGCTCATTAGATGAAAGTAGCTGATAAAGAGTGGTGTATGAGTATAGTGGGAAAATTCACTCTTTGCTATTAACTTGAAAGATAAAGCAGAATTGTTTTGAACACCATCTAAGCATAGGTTTCTTTGAGGTAAACCAAAGGAAAACCTCTTGCATGGTACTAAATACTAATCTAAGAAATCCCAAGAATTCTTGAATCATTCAATGCCAAGATGCAAATATTTCTTTCAATAATAAAAGACTTGCTTACAGTTCTTGGTAACTTCTATTTGTGAAAAAAAAACTAACATGTAATCTATATCTAAGGAATCAAACCCAACCAATTATCTAATCTAAGTACGTAAGGAAATTATATATGGTTAAAATACTCCTTAAGTAGTGATGATGGTGTGGCTACCCAACAAACACATGTCCAGTCTAGACCTATTCATGGGCTGGGTAGCCCGACGAGGTGGCCTCGTTCGGCCTGTTCTATATTGGGCTTGGACAAATTTTTAAGCCTGCTGGCTCAGGCTCCAAGCACCAGGCTTGACTATTTCTCGGGTCAGGCTTGGCCTTTCTCCCAAATAAGCTCAGCTTGAGCTTGAGGCTGGCCCGATAATGTTATATATATAATAAAAGTAATAAGGAAATTTATGGTTTGCTCCCCCTTACAAATTCTTATTGGTTTTCTGAGTATCTTGTCCCAAACTCCCATCTATTGCTATAGTACCCCCCTTGTATTGTGATAGATTCTCCCACCTATCACTTTTCCTAGTTATACAAACCTATAACAATTTATGAGGTGGAGGAGTCTATAAAAACCCCAAAATAATATATATTATATAATATTACGTAATAATATTATTAGTAGCAAAAATGTATCATATAATATTCTATAAATTATAATATAGAATATTATATAATATATAATATATTATTAACAGTATATAATTAATATATTATAAAATTTCTGTTCAGGTTGGGATTTGGGCTTTATATAGGATCGGGTTTGGGCTCGGGCCTAGTCATTTTTTGTTTATAAAGAGGCAAAGCCTAGCTTGAACTAGGCCTGGCCCATGAACAAGTCTAGTCTAGTCCATAAATTGGCCATAACTTGCATAAATGACTTGGTCTTGGAATGTTGAGTAGATCATTGAAGAAGCTTTCGACATATAAGAATATGGAAATCTAGGTTCTCTATCTAATAAAAAGCACAAAACCATCATAATGGCACAAGGCAAGTATGCAACTACATCGAAGACATAAATTCAGGAAGACATTAAGAAGATCAAAATACTCCGGTTGCTGCTTTAGTTGAAAATTTGCTACCTGAGATCCCATCTGCAACAGCTAGGGATTTAGGTATTCAAGAGATCTTTGTTTTTATTTCTTTTAAAAGTTAATAGAACATTACTAATGGGATGTGACAATAAAAGGTTAATTAGAAGTTAATAACCATTACAAAGTACATATGAATATATATAATGGTAACCAGAAAAGCAAACTTACAAAGTCTTGCACATGGGTTGCCTTGTATTGTAGCTGAGGCATGTGCCTAGGCACACTAGGTGGTAGGGGTGACCATTTCAGCCTAGCCCGATTCAGGCCCACAAATTCCAGGCCCGGGTTAAAATGATTGTTAGAATCGACAGCACAAGGGTAGTTTGGTCATTTGTCTATTTAATTAAAGTTGAGTTGTCTATTTTGTGTGAGTTTAAGTTGTGTGTCCTATACTTAATGTGGGACAGATTTGTCTTTTGTAGTCTAATACAAAGATTATAAATATAAGGTGGGTCTGCTGAGAGGGATTGACTTTTCCTCTTTTCGGACCGAAACCTTTCTTCTTCTCCTCTCTTCTCTCTTCTTCTTCTTCTTCTAGGACTGTACTAGTGTTAGTCAAATCATTGACATGGTATCAGAGCACTAGAAAATCAGTCTTAAACTCTGTGTTTTTTCTTCTTTCCTTCCTCCTAGGATTGCCATATTAGAACTTCTTTTTGAAATAACTCCCAAACTAATTGGAGGATCAATAAGGGACCAAAAAGGAGTGGTCGTTTTTCCTTCTTGGAGGTAACTATGCCTCCAATTGCTGTGGTGGTTTGCTAGAACCCTTTCTTCTTCTCCTCTCTTCTTTCTCTTCTTCTTCTTCTTTTTTCCTTCTTACTTATCTCAGACCTAGGACTGAACCAGTGTTAGTCGAATCATTCACATGGTATCAGAGCACTAGAAAATCAGTCTTAAACTCAGTTTTTTTTCTTCTTTCCTTCCTCCTAGGATTGCCATATTAGAACTTCTTTTTGAAATAACGCCCAAACTAATTGGAGGATCGATAAGGGACCAAAAAGGAGTGGTCGTTTTTCCTTCTTGGAGGTAACTGTGCCTCCAATTGCTGTGGTGGTGGTCATTATGGTGGTTTGCTAGAAACTCTCTAATCGATAACTCGAAGAGGGATGGTTGTGGACAGGTGTGAACAGAACTCTCTAGTCAGCTGATAGTGTAGTGTGCTCTCTCTCTTTTGGACTGGATTTCATCCATGTGGCAGTGTTGATTGATAGGTATGCGTATGGACTGTTTTCTCTCTTTTTTATGTCTGAATATGTGTGGTAACAGTAGGGTTTTCTGGTGCTGAACCTATGACAGCAGCAGTGTCGTAACAACAGTGTTTTATTGTGTGGTGTGTGGTGTAGTGCTGAATAGTGAAGGATGACTTATGTCTCTTGTAGTTGATTTTGTTATAATGGCGACATCTGGAGAGGGTACTGATAATAAAACTAGTGTTGTGATTTCCCCCGATTACCTGAATGTTCAAGTGATCTCTATCAAATTAAATGGTGAGAACTATGTGCCATGGGCTAAATCAGTGAATGTGTTCTTGAGAGCCAAGAAGAAGGTGAAACATGTCAGGGAGGAGAAATCCTCTTTTGACTCTCCAGGGTTTAGTGAGTGGGAATAGGAAGATGCACAAATTATAACTTGGTTGTGGAATAACATGGAGCCTAAAATTAGTGTGAATTTTATGTTCTTGGATATAGCTAAGGAGATTTGGGGCCATGCTAAGAACTTTATTATGGCCAAGATAACACTACCAGAGTGTACCAACTTTATTAAGATCACTTTAACATAAAGCAGGGAAATCAAAGTCTAGAAGAGTACTATGCAAGCATGAGAAATATCTGTAATGAGCTTATTGTATATCACCCTTTGACTTCGGATGTTAAAATTCAGCAGCAACAACGAGAACAACTTGATGTGACAAGGTTATTAGTGGGTTTAAAATCTGAATATTAACCTGTTCGAGCACAAATATTAGGCGGATCTGCCCTCCCCTCTCTTGAGGAGGTGTTTGCCCGACTTCGGAGGATTTCTATTGAACCTATGGTGCATTCCACTCTCTCGGACAGGTCTGGTTTTGTGATGGTGAGAGGGGGAGGTCGTGGAAATAGAGGTAGTGGAGGTGGTCGTGGATTTCTAGGGACCTGAGGTTGTCCTATGTTCAATCGTACTGGTGGTCGCAATGGAAGTCGAGATTCATGGGGAGGTCATGGTAGATGACGGAGTACTGGTCCTAGAAGGTGCACATATTGTGGATTGGAGGGGCATATTGTTAACTTTTGTTATGACTTACATGGTCCACCCAACACTTGAGCCAATCATGTTGTGACTAGTGGTGGTGGTATAGTTAGTGAGAACTAGCAGGTTGATCAGACACCCTCCACATCTACAGGTGTTTTTGAGAAGGAAATGGTGAGTGTCCCACATGAGGAGTATGAGAAGTTTCTTCAGACATCCTCTTAGTAGAACACAACTACTCTTGCACATTCAAGTATGGCTTGCTTGGCATCCTAACCCTCGTATTGGATTATTGACTCTGGAGCCTTTGATCATATGAGTGGGTTGGGACTCTAGGTGTGTTTTCTTCACTTTCTCAGTTTTCCACGCCCCAAACAGTTACCCTTGCTAATGGTTTTACTTCTCCCATTTGTGGTGTTGGTGATGTTGATCTCACTTCTTTATCTTTATCCTCTGTCTTATACGTACCCAAATTTCCCTTTAACCTTATGTCTGTTAGTAGATTAACCAAGTCATTTAATTGTTCTATAACCTTTTATCCCTCTTCTTGTGTGTTTCAAGATCTCAAGATGGGGATGAAGATTGGTGGAGGGCATGAGGCAGGTGGATTGTATTACCTTGATGGTGGTGGTGGTCCGAAAGTAGATTTTCAGTCTTCTTTTCTTATTCCTCTCCAATGGCACTACAGACTTGGTCATCTGTTGCTCAAGGCCCTAATATTATTGGTTCCATCTTTAAATCATCTTTCATTATTGGATTGTGAGTCATGTAAGCTTGGGAAAAATCATAGTCTCTTTTAGTCCTAGAGTTGATAGTTGTGTTTCGAGTCCTTTTTCTCTAGTTCATTTGGATGTTTGGGGTCCAAATAAAGTAGTCATACAATGGCTACAAGTACTTTGTAATTTTTGTTGATGATTATTCAAGGATGACATGGCTTTTATCTTATGAAAGACATAAGTGAATTGTTCTCTATTTTCCAAAAGTTTCATGCTGAAATTCGTACCCAATTTGGTGTTCATATTAAAATTCTTCACTTGGATAATGCAAAAGAATACACCTCAACAATCTGGCGCTCACAGGGATTCCCTTTTCAGTGATAGTTTTTTGCTTATGTAACTTTCTAAGTGCTTAATTGCTGTGTACATCTCCTCATGTACCTTTCTTTTCTTCGAATAAAGTTAACTTTTTCTTCAAAAAAAAAAAAAAGAATACACCTCAACACCATTTCAGCAATACTTAGAGCACCACGAGGTAATTCACCGAACTTCTTATTCTCATACCCCACAACAAAATGGCATGGCTGAATGGAAGAATTGACACTTACTTGAAACTGCGTCTATTATGCTTGATATGAATGTTCCAAAGCGTTTTTGGAGTGATGCTGTCCTTACATCAGTACCTTTTCTCAGTCTTGTTCCCTACTCTTTTCATTCCCTCTTACTCCCAAAGTCTTTGGTTGTGTTTGTTTTGTTCAGAATTTAGGGTCTGGACTAGACAAGCTAGATGGATGTGCTACAAAATGCATCTTTCTTGCCTATTCTAGAACCAGAAAGGGTATAAGTGTTACAACTCTAGCTCTCATCGCTCGTTTGTGTGTTCTGATGTCACTTTCTTTGAGTTTGTTTCATTCTTTTCTAATTTTGATGTTCCTCTTGCTCCTGTGTTTCCTCTTCCAGTTCTACGTTGAGGACCCCCTTCCTATGGTTCTTGTTGTGTCTCAGTCGTCGTCTTCTCCAATGCAGGTTAATACTAAAAGACCACCAATCACACATGTGTATACTCACAAAAGGGTACCGGCCCCTCCTCTAGTTTAGCCCTCATTGACAGATTCTGCAGTTGTATCTCCTTATGACCTTGATCTTTCTATTGCATTGCGGAAAGGTAAACGTAGTTGTACATCTCATCATATTTCCCATTATGTTTTTGTTGCTCGCCTTTCTACTTCCCAACAACAATTTATATCTCTGTTATCATTTGTTTCCATTCCTAAGAATGTCTAAGAAGCCATTACCTCTCCAAGGTGGTGGCAAGATGGAAGAGGAATTGTTTGCACTGACACACAATCATACGTGGGAGCTTACCACTCTCCCTCCTGGTATGTTGTTGGATGTAAGTGGGTATACACAGTGAAGTATTTTTCAGATTGTAGTGTGGAACGGTTGAAAGATAGGTTAGTGGCTAAAGGCTATTCTCAGTCGTCTGGTGTTGACTATACGGAGACATTCTCTCCTGTAGCTAAGATTGGTTCAGTTCGGGTGTTGATTTCTTTAGCAGTAATATATGATTGACCAATCTTTCAGCTTGACATAAAAAATGCCTTCTTACATGGTGATGTTGTTGAGGTATATATGGAGCAACCACTAGGGTTTGTTACTCGGGGGGGGATGGTAAAGTTTGCAGACTCAAGAAGGCGATTTATGGGCTGAAACAATCTCCATCTGTGTGGTTTGGCAAATTTAGTCAAGTAGTGAGGGACTTTGGCATGAAATAGTGTTAGGTAGACCATTTTGTGTTCAGTTATGAATCAGAAGCTAAGAAGATTTTGTTAGTGGTGTATGTGGATGACATTGTCATGACTGGTAGTGATAGCAATGGGATTGATAGGTTGAAGAACTTTCTACATGATCACTTCCAAACAAAAGATTTGGGTAAACTGAAATATTTTTTGGGAATAGAAGTTGCAAGGTCAAGACATGGTATTAACTTGAAGAAACAAGGTTGTTGGGTGCCAAATCAGTTGAAACACCCATGGAACCAAATGTCAAATTGAGTATTGATGCAGGTGAAGAGTTTCATGATCCTGGAAGGCATAGGAGGTTGGTGAGTAAATTGAACTACTTGACTATTACTCGGCCAGATATATCATTTGCAACAAGTATGGTGAGTCAGTTTGTTCAACATCCTCGAGTTCCACATTGAGAGGCTGTTCTAAGAATTGTTAGGTACTTGAAGGGAGCACTGGGTCATGGGTTGTTATACAAGAGTGGAGGAACTCTTGAGATAGGGGTGCATAGGTGTTGGTTGGGTCGGATATGTTTCTAATAGGAGACCCACTACAGGGTATTGTAACTTCTTGGGTGGCAATCTAGTGACTTGGAAGAGCAAGAAACAAATTGTGGTAGCAAGAGGCAGTGCTGAAGCTGAATATAGGGCCATGGCTCATACTACATGTGAACTAGTGTGGTTATAAAATCTTTTGTAGGAGATGGGGTTCTTGGTTGACATACCCATGAGGTTGTACTATGATATTCAAGCTGCAGTCCACATTTCTTCTAATCCAGTTTTTCATGAGAGAATAAAGCATATTGAAGTTGATTGCCACTTTGTAAGAGAAAAGGTGATCAATGGAGTGATAAATATAGCTCATGTGAGTTCAGGAAACCAGTGGGTAGATTTGTTTACAGAAGGGTTGAGTCGGGGAAGAGTGGATTACATATATAACAAGTTGGGACTATATGATATATACTCTCCATCTTGAGGGGGAGTGTTAAAATCGACAGTACAAGGGTAGTTTGGTCATTTGCCTATTTAATTAAGGTTGAGTTGTCTATTATGTTTGAGTTTAAGTTGTGTCTCATACTTAATGAGGGATAGATTTGTCTTTTGTAGTCTACTACAAAGATTATAAATATAAGGTGGGTCGGCTGAGAGGGATTGACTTTTCCTCTTTCTTCTTCTTCTTCTTCTTCTTCTTCTTCTTCTTCTTCCTCTTTCCTTCTTACTTATCTCAGACCTAGGACCTAACTAGTGTTAATCGAATCATTCACAATGATCACCCCTACCACCTAATGTGCCTAGGCACAATACAAATTATTCTACATATTTGCCTGGTTCACTGTTATTCCCAAGGTTCAAAATATTGCAACGTATCGGGCCGTATTGGCCGATATGTATCGTTCCGATAAGATCTCGATACATGAACGTGTATAAACAACCCGATATGTATCGGGTTGTTTTGGATCTGTATCGGCCGATATGGGCCCAAAACAGTTCGATACAATTCAATACATTTGATCATTTGGGTTCATCATTAATTTCGTTAGTCAATATTTAATACCAAATCCGTCATTAATGTTGTTACTCCTATATTTAAGTCTAATTTCTCTTTCATTAATTAGTCAATTACTCCAAAGCAAATTTAAATTTGAATTTTCGTGTCTAATTCAAATTCTCTCATTAGTTCCTTTAATTAATGACCCCCTCTCATTAATTTTGTTTTGTTAGTGTAAAAACTTCAAAGTTTAGCTATAGCAAGATTTGAACCTTGGTCACTTTATTTTAACAACCACAAGTTCGCCAATGAGCCACATATATTTGTTTGCTATGATCATAGTATTTTTAATTTTAAGTAAATTTTCACTTTTCTTAATGTGTGACAAATGTTTATTAATAAATGCTGGAATTAATTATTAAAATTTATATACTAATAAATATTAAGATTAATTATATTGTTTTTTGAAAATTGACATTCACATTTTAGTTTTTTTTGTTTTTTTTTAAATTTTAGTTATTCCATCAATTTTCAATGGTTACTAGTTGTGCCCTAATATGTCACACTTTATATAAACCATTAAATTATGGTTTTTTTTTTTACATTTAAATGACTTATTTACAATCATATAAAATTTGTAAATATTCTTCGTAATATATTTTAATTTTCTACTATATTTATACGTATCTTAATTTTTTGTCTGTATCCATACGTATCCAAAGCGTATCCCGATACGTCTCTTAAAATTGTCTTTCCGGTACACCTTGCATTTCCGATACTTTGAACCTTGGTTATTCCTTGTATTGATGGACATTAAAGTTTTTATTTTTTATTTTTTTATCAACAACAACCATAATCTCATTAAAGCATGGATGCCTCACACTTCAAAAACGTTGAAGTAAAGGAACTAATACAACAGCCAAGGCTGATATTACAAGTTCACCCTGGGCTAGGTGCCCCCTGTAACAGATTTTCCCTTCTTACCCTACCCTTGCTAAAAGCATTGGTGAATTTGTTAGCTGATCTAGGTATCCACCTGAACAGGCAATTCAGGTTGGATGACAGTGCTTTTGGCTCTCTTAGTAGCAAGTAGGAACTGACATATCATCCAAAGGTCCTTGGGATCTTTTTAATCCAATCACCACTTGGCATTTTCTCTTCACTATCAATTTATTCCAACCTGAATTATAGGCTACTAAAGACAATTGCTGTTGCTGTGAAACTAAAGACAATGTTACCAAGGTGGTCAATACGCATACTACCCACACCTGATGCACCTGGATTACCAAGATATCAGCCATCAAAGTTAAGTTTAATTCTTCCCTGCTGCATACACCTGCAGCCTTCTAGGGGCATACTGGCATAGCCAGCGAAAGAAGGCCATCTTCTCAAATGGAATAAACCATAATCCCTTTGAGCTCCGTCCTAACTCCTTATCATCAGCAAATGTGCTACTCCCACCATGATGAGGCGAAAGATTCATCTGTATTTGGTTGGATAATGAAAAGTTTCATCTATTTGGAGGTCCTGTAATATGGCTGCGTTTGTTGCCCAGGGGTTCTAGCCTCCCCTACTTTTTGGACATTTGGGCCCCAGTGTTTAGAAAATGCTTTATCATTTTAGCTTTGTAGCTTGGGGTATCTGCCTCCCTTAATTCTTTTTAGTGAATGCTATTTACTACCAGCAAATGGTAAATAAATTACTGGTGCCTGACCACTTGCTTAGAAAATAATCTCTATTGGCCCCACTGAATTTCCTAGTGTCAGAAGACAGGAAGTGGAATGAGAACCTAATTGTGTTGTATGTGCGATGCATGTACATTTTTCTGGATCATGTCATATGCAATTCAATTCTCCTGTCTCTGTGGACAATAGACAGCCTTTTAGCCTACATGAAATAAAGGGCTTATTGCCAATTAATATATCAAAAAGAGAAGAAAATATTTTAGATTGATCTTGCATTTTGTTTTATTTTATTTATTTCTTGTCATATTCTAAAATAGTGAATGGTGCAGGCTTTTGCAGATGCTTATTCTACTCTGGAGAATGAGCTTACGTGCCTTCCTAGTGATTCTGATTCAAGGACTAGGCAGTCATATAAATTACTTCCCAAAATTATTCCAAGTCTTGGTCTTTCATAGGAACATTCTGTTTTCCAAGGAGTTCAAATATGGTATGTACTTTTTACTCCAAATTGTATTTTCTGACAACTATTTCGATGCTCAGAGTTTGACCTTTATTTTTCTGACACTGCAAAATTTTTAAAGATATAGAATCTGATTAAGTTATTGCATATTTTAGGTCAAAATTCCACAGCAGTTTCCAATAACTTTCATCTCAAAATCAGCATGAAGTTTCGTCTGTGCATTTGAAGGTATAATTTAATTATGGTATTTTTTGAAGGCTGTATTTTGATCAACCAGACCCTTGGAAATTTTGAGATGGCATCCCACTATGAAAGTGGACCATAGAATGAAATCTGGAATTGGAAACTTGCAGAATTTGTGGGGGGGGGATCAATTCCATTTCTACCTTGACTTCTATCAAAACAAAGCCTTATGGGATGTGGTCATTATGCAAATCCCTTGGTTTTCTTCCCCCATTTTCTGCCTGTTTTGTTCTATATCTTCTGTTAACAAAGTAGACATTTTGTTTTATGAATATGAGGAAATTTTATTAAAAAAATATAAAGAGAGATTATTGATTGAAAAAAGGATGAAGAGAGTTGCAGAAGGTGAAAGTTGTTGGGGTAACACTTTGAGTATAAATATAACCAACTACAAGATTCCAATACCCCAAAGGACCTTCTGACAAAGTCTTATCTTTCTTCCTAAACTAGGAATTTTCCCTTCTTTTATATGCTTTTTGTAATTCTACCTAAAGATCACTTTTATCACACCATTTGTACTGTATAATCCTGAAAAGAGCCATAAGAAATAAATGTTATGGATCTATATGTCCACCCGCTGGTTCAATCGCCGAAATATCAATACCATTCAAACTCAACAACTCATCCCTATAATCAATGTCTGTTGTTTAAATCTTGAATCATGAAAATATTTATCTTATTCTCCCTCATCTTGATTCTCAATCTTGCAGTTCCATGATAGAAGTCTTATTTGGGACCTCTTAAATGTTCCTCCTTATCTCCTTTTGTACTTGTAGAACTTCTTTCTCTCAATGTTACTTCTCAAATCCCCATTCAAAAACTTTTGTACTTCCCTTGTGTTCCCAATTCTATTAAAAGGTTGGTGTTGGAGGAAATATCAGTCATTCAAGTATAGGAAATATGCCAAAAATGTTTAGAAATATTGTAACAATTATAGACATAGTGGAAGCATTGTGAAATATCTGAAAATTTAATTTGATATTTTATGAAATGATAAAAGAAGTATAGGTATATACCCTTTTAAATTATTATCTTATTCTGAACTGTCAAACAAAGCTAAGAAACTAAGGTTGATGGACAAAATAAGATGCTGTGAAGTTGTCCTACAAACTACATGATATATTGAGTTCAAGAAATAGTCTATTACATAAGCAAGAACTAAGATTTAACTTCATGTTTGGAAAGAATTTCTGTTGGTTCAAAGTGTTAATCATGTCTTTTGGGTAGACAATAATACTACCCCACATATTTACAATATTGTCACCAATTTATGTTATAATACCATCTCTTCTACTCCACATGGTGCTATAGTTTTCAACGGAGAATGTGTCAGTTCTAGTAATATTTCGTGTCAGTACCCATGGAAATAGAAATATTGTGTGGAAATATTAGGAAATATATGGACATTATGAACCATGCTTTCACCTTTTACAGTTTCCTTCCCCACCCAAAAAGAAGGTTCTTGAAACCATATCATCTTGTCTTCTCGTCCCTGATAAATTTGACAAGATACTTAACAAAGTTATTCTTGTGCATGGATACATTTTTGAAACAAAACTATGTTGTCCATAGATACAATTAAGTTTGACATTCTAATAATTGCTGGTGACATTTTTAGTGGAATAACCTCCAAATGATTGGGCTCATACCTGTAGGTGATGTGGTGAAGATTGAAGAATAGCTGCTATTCTTGGTTGTTGATGTGGAAAGCTTCTATGTTCCTGGGACCCCCATTAGCAGTAAATTACAAATCTAAGGCGATTTGAGACCTGCTTACTGAAAATGTTTCAACACAAACTGGTGGGCTGGAAGAAAACTTATCTATCCAAAGTTGGTAAGCTGATGCAAATTAAAAGTGCCATTTTCAATCTCTCAATCTACCTCTCTTCTCTTGTGGTATTTGTAGCAGATGCTTAAAAAATGGAAGATTTTTTTTTTGGATGGTTCAAATGACAAGGAGAAATACCATCTTGTTTCAATTATATCTGACAGAAGAGGGGTAGGCCTGGATCATTTCGTTTGGTGAATAGTGTCTATGACATTATAGTGCAGAAAAAATGCCTATGGATAAGTCTGATCTTCTCTTGATTGTGATTTCCTCCTGCCCCCGCACTATCAACACTTATGGGGCAGGTGTTTGGGGAGGCATAATGCATACAAGGGATGAATTTCTCAATAATATTGCATTATAAACTGAGTAAATGCGACCAATTTATTTCTGCAGTGATTGTTGAGTTGGTGAAGGATCCCTTAATTTTGAATTTCCACATCTTTTTAACCTGACACAGGCCTAGTAAAGCAGTGCTATGAAATTGTGGGTCATTTGATTTGGAATGTAAATGATTGGTAAATGGATTCACTGGCCGCTTTTCTGAAAGACTAGTTTACACAATAATCAAGTTGAGGCACAGGATTTGAAAAGCTTACACATGATGGGATGGAGGATAGAAACAGTATTTTTTTAATACAATCCTTCTATGAGTCTGCAGGTCTATCTCAAGTTGTGTTCCCATTCAAATGGATATGGTTAGCCCATACCCCAACCTCAAGACAAAGTCCTTGGTAACAACCATTTAATACAGGTGGGGCCTTTGACTACAACTGCATTATGATGAATGGAGGAAACCGTTCATGAAATATGTGTTGACTGCTTACACTGTGCAAATGTATTCGTGAAATATGTGTTGACTGCTTGCAGCTCTTCAAATGAAATTGGGTAATCCTTAAGGAATAAGGGCCTCCCCATGCTAATATCACTATGGAGAGATTATTGTAGAGAGGGCTTGGATTCCACGTTTGATAGAGGGAACTCTCTGGTGGATGGAAAGATTGAAAGAACTCTAGTAAGCTGGGTTTTAATCCTCAAGGACTTTGAAATACCTTTATGATCAGTTCTGATGCAAATGAGGGGGGGGGGGGGATATCATCTTCAACTCATCTTCTAATGTATAAAGGGGGTGTGCTTGTATATATGCTAAACATGGTTTTGGATTCATTAATTATACTTATACAATACAATATACTATTTATAAAAAAATATTCAAGGTAGCACATGGATTGAAGATTGCTCCAGCAAGTTCTTTCCCGTGGTAATAACTATATATTGATGGCAAGAGCATGACTATGTAAGTATATATATTCTTTTTTCTATTGGAGTTGTGTGTTTTGTGCGATCATTTGCAACTTAATATCTTGGAGCATTGTTTCTTTCTATCCTTCGCTGTTTTACAATGCAGCTTGACTCACTAAATTTGCATTATGATCCTGGCAACTATTTCATTTGACACTTGCTATTTGGATGCCCTGCAGTTACTGGAACCAAGCTGTTAGGTGGCACTATGCTTTTATGTGTTGCAATCACATCTTGCACCTTGCCTTCTTTATTCAGCAGATGCCATGTCCTTGTCAAGACCATCCTTGTAAAGTGCATCACATTCAATGTAATTTCATCCCGCAATCAGTACTTGTTTGTTATTTTTTGTTAGAGATTTGAACTGTGCCCATGAACTATTACCAGTCATATGACTCGTCTATTTTGCTTCAAAATATTTTTTGTTTCCTTCAATCTCTAGGTTTGACTATGTACAGAAGCTACAGAAGTTTATGGTGAATAATCCTTGTAAAGTGCATCACAATCAATGTAATTTCATCCTGCAATCAGTACTTCTATATTTTTGTTAGAAATTAGAACTGTGCCCATGAACTTACCAACCATATGACTCGTCTATCTTGCCTCTTCCTACAATCTTGTGTCCTAAAATATTTCTTATTTCCTTCGGTCTCTAGGTTTGACTATGTACAGAAGCTACAAAAGTTTATGGTGAATCATGCATGGTCAGCATTTTTCTTTTCTACATTTTGCTGTATATTGCATTGCCTGTGTTTAAGGTATTCTATTCAAGCTCTTCTAGCAGTTTCATGCATTTATCCTGAGTGCTTAGTGTTGCTTCCTTGCTGTGCATGTTTAGCTGCAGGGTTCTTACTGTTCTTGTTACTGAGAAGGTACGGGAAACAGGGCCAATCAATCAGTTGTGAACTTGTGGGCGTGGAGTGGGTGCAAGGAATGGGAAGCCATTCCATGAGTGGAACTCCCCCGTTTAACCAAGATGCACAAGTGGAGGCATCAGTATCATCATCATCCATGCCTTATCCCAACTATATGGGGTCCTGTTTTATGCACAAGTGGAGGTCTCATGAAACCCCTTGTAATTTTCTGCAGCGTGACAGAAGCTGTGCAAGACAAGAACCAGAAATTGGATGGTTGACATACTTGATGCTGCAAACCATCGCTTTGGCAATGAAATGAGGAATAGACCACCAATCTACAGTGGACTGCAGGAACAAGCTGTATTGCATTGGTAGATTAAAAGCCAGTTTTACAAGCACATTAAGGCTTTTGATGCTTAAGTTATTCAGGTAATGTGGTCTGCAGTACATCAATTTTAAGCATTAATTCATCCAAGAAGAATATGTTCTCGTTCACTGTTTTGACTGGATGTGTTAGATTATGTAATATTGGGCCGTCCCAACCAAATTGGAAATGGTTGGATGGTTAGGGTCATCTAATTTCGCTGAATTTTAATGTCATCAGGATTCAGGATATGGACAAAGAGGAGGATAGAATCGCAAGTTTCAAATCATAAATAAAAAACCGCTTACCCAAAAGGTCAGTTGGGTTGGGCCGAGTTGAAGTTTGAGTTAGGGTTTAAAAATATAAACCTGACTTTGGGGCAATAATCGGCTCCTACGATGTTGGAGGACATGTGTCCTATCACCTCTGATTTTTAGATCTAAACCCTAAGCCTTAAAATTTAAACACTAAACCCTTAAAACCCCGAACTCAGCCTCTAAATCTTTACCCTAAATCTTAAACTCTAAACCCTGAACTCTTAATTTAATCCTAAACTCTAAAATTAGTGTATGAAAGGGCTATGGTATGATGCATGTCCACCAACGTGGTTGGAGCCAAGTATTTTTCCTAGCTTTAGGTTGTATCAGGGTTGAGGCCTTGGCCATCTATAGGTATTCATATTCTTATGCATAATTATTAGGGAAAATTGCATATTAGTACCCTGTACTTTGGGTCTAGTCTCAAACTTCAAAACATGCCAATCTAATACCTAAACTTTCAAAATGTGCTTAGTACACACCGTTAACTAGCCGTCAATTATGCGTCATGTGACATTATGTGCGACTTAAGACTTGAAAATATCAAAATTACCCTTCGAAATAAAACATTTTTTCATCTTCTTTCCCAAGATGTCACAACCCAACTGCCCAAACTGTCACAACCGCACCAAAATCTGCCTATATGAAGATGGTCGTAATACGAAGCACCCGGTTGGATTGGATGGTAGTCAGCTCCTCCCTCTCTGCAAGCATAATCTAGTGTTGCTTGCAACTTCTACTCCCCAGCCTTGTCATTCGCCACACACCATGACATCAGATAGATGGTGATGGCAACGGGGTGGGTTCTATAAATGTTAGACCCTATCCCTCTCCCTAACCTCCTAACCCGTATCCACCCTAAAACCAGTAGTGAGTTGGATTTTAAGAATCTAAACCCTACCCGCATATGAAAATGCAAAACCTTACTTGATCCTCCCTCTCCCCCCTTTCCCCGCATTCAAGGGTAGGGTGGGTTGGATTTAGATCTCGTATCTAATTTCCTATTAAGTAATAAGTTTCACCTGTCTTCAAATATTTAGAAGATAATATGTATGCCCATAAACGAGATTGTTCTATTAAAAATCTCCATGATAATTTCATAAGCAGGGATCTATTCTTGATGCTAACATTCTGAAATCCCAAACCACCCACCTTTTTTTTTGTAGTGAACTTATTCCATCCTCGAAGATAGACACGAGGTATGCTAGGTTTGTAACCCCACTAGAAATCACGAGATAAAGCATCAAAGAAAGAGAGAACACTTTTAGGTAGTTGATGTGTGGACCTAAAATAAGTTGGGATAGATGTAAGAGTGGATTTGATTAAAATTTCCTGGCCATCCTGAGATAAGCAGTTTGCCTTCCAAGAGGATAGGCGATCTCAACATTTATCAATCACAAATTGCCATGTATTTGCATTGCAACTATTCCGTAAGAATGGGATGCCAAGATATTTTTCTTTTGAATGCATAAGTGGTACTCCCATATGACTGGCTAGATCCCTCTGCTTTCGTTGATGAACATTTTTGCTGAAAAAGATAGAGGATTTGGAACAGTTCACTTGCTGACTTGAGAAAGCACCAAAATATTGTAAGATTTCCTTGAATTTTGATGACTCTAGTGTAGTACTCTTGCCAAACAACAAAATATCATCTAAAAAAAGTAAATGATTGAGCAGAGGTCCATTTCTACAGTCCATATTATGTTGAAGCAATATGGAAAACACATCCATATATAAAATGAATAAATATGGGGAGAGAGGGAAACCTTGTTGTAGCCCCCTTTGCGGATGGAACTAGGATCCCACTTTTCCATTGAGTAATATCACATAAGAAGTAGTGGTAAGACAAATCCGTAATAAGGAACAAAACTGAGTAGAGAAACCCCATAAATGTAGGATATGAAGTAAGAATTCGCATTCCACCTTGTCGTATGCCTTGGACAGATCTAATTTTAAGATAAAGTGGCCCTGCTTACCTTGCATCCGTGTCATTGAATGAATTATCTCAAACGAAATGATCTAATTATCTTGGATATGACGCCCAGGGGAGAATGCATTCTGATAGAGGGTGATGAGTGGTTCAATGATGCTTTTGAGTCGTGTTGCAAGGATCTTCATAAAAATTTTATATGGAACGTAACTCTTGAAATGAGATACGGATTATAGAACACATTTTGCACAAAAGTGACTAAATCATGGCCCACCTCTTCCCAACAATGTTGATAGAAAAGAGCATGAATGCCATTAGGACCAAGTGCTTTAAGAGGCCCAATGGAGAATAAGGCGTCTTTAACTTCTTGAGCAGACGGACAACGATAGAGCATATCATTCATAGCCTCTGTAATTTGATGGGGAACAATGTTGTCTTCAAAAGTATCAACAGCTGGAAAAGAGTATGAGAATAAATCAACAAAATGGATTCTAACTATAGAAGCAATAATTGTGGAATTAGAGGACCATGTACCATTGTTGTCTCGTAACCAATGAACACCATTATGTCGATGACGATTTGAGACGGTAACATGAAAAAATTTAGTATGTTTATCTCCTTATCGCAGCCAGTCATTATAAGCTCTTTGTTTTCAAAACATCTCCTCAAGACTTAACAATCTATCCATCTCCACATGAAGACAGGATTCCTCTAGAATATTGCCATCAACATTAATTAATTGTTCTTCAGTTTCTTTAATTTGGGCACTAAAGTTCCCTAACTTAGTGCAGCCCCAAGAAGAAAGAGAAATTTTACAAGTCAGAACCCGTTGTTTAAAGGAACCAAGATTGCAATTCCAAAACTGTTGAACTTGTATTTTGAAACCAACCAACTTTGTCCAAACAGATGCAAACATAATATGACATCGCGTGGATGCCTTATAGGCTGTGTAAAAAGAACAATTGGTCTATGGTCGCTACGGCCAGTTGTAAGGTGCTTGAGATAGGAGTGAGGCCAAAGATTAATCCAAGAGTACAAAAAGCTCGATCCAGATGTTCCATAATTAATCCAAATCAAATAAACCACAAGCTTCAACCATTTGATTAAACATTTGAACATGATCTGTGTCCAAAGCACAACTGCCATTTTTTCTCAACAGCATTGGAAATGGCATTCAAGTCTCCCATTAAAACCATGGTTTGAAAATACTAAAGCCAACAAAAACAACCTCATCCCAAACCTCCTGTTTTTGTGATCGATTTGGATGACTATAAACACCAACAAAGTCCCATACCACTGAGGGAGGGTGATTGTTGATGGAAGCATGAATTAAATGTTCATTAGAATGAAGAATACACAACTCAAGTGACTTCATCCAGCCAAACCATAAGCCCCCGGACCGACCTTGGGAGGGAATGACAAAAAAATCATAATACAACGACTTGAATAAAATTCTTTGAGATTTCATCAAATCACATCGAGTTTCAGTAATGAAGAAAATGGTAGGCTTAATCTTGAGGAGATAGTTGAAATGTCGAACTGTCGATCTACCTCCTCCCACCTTGACAGTTCCAAGAGAAACATATCATGGTGAGTGTGGTGGCAATTGATGGCTTGCCACCTCAACCAATGAAGAACATGGAGAGCCATTTGAGGAAGATGCATTTAGCTTAGCCTTTAAACGAGCTTGTTGCCTGAGTTTAAGATGAGATAACACCACTATCAACAAGGATTGGATTGGAACGAAAGTTAGCAGTAGGAACATTGTCCTCCAAAGGTGGTGCTTTGCGTTTTAAGCCACGAGGGGAGGAGACTCCCTTAGTTATATCTATAGCACAAACAATGACATTATCAACATCAGAAGTGATAGTAGAGAAAGAGACAACAGGAGAGGGGATGGAACACATGCCTGATTTGGCGGGAATACCACCGTAAAAAGCGGTAGTAAGCCCATCGTCCAATAGAGTTTGGCCAAGAACATTATCAATTGGCTGCACCTCCATAGGAAGCAAAGTAGGAGTAGGTGGAGTTGAAGTTCTTGGGGGTTGCATGTGTTGGGTAACATCCAAAATCGGCGGCTCAACCGCTCAAAGTTCATGTTCATGTAAAGAGAGAAAACCGTTACATTCGTAATAGAAGTAGAAACGGGAACAGATATGTTAGAATTAGAAAAATCATCAAGTTTTGTAGTAACTGATGTAACTATATTAAATGCTTCATTACACTTGCCTGATTTGGTAGAATCACATCCATGTGTATCGGATGTAGTTCCGCCTTCCACAACTGGAGCATGAGACGTGATCGTTTGATTGATAACCACTGCTGCAACCGTTTTTGGGCCAGAGAACTGTTCCTATAACTAGGTTATTGTCGGAGAAACCAGGTCTGGTGGTGGTGTAGATGTATATTCATCCACAGAATTTACTCGACGAGATGGAAACATTCATTGAGAGGATGGTGTCCGTATTGAGAGGGAAATACGTTCAATGTTCAATTCCTCTAGTCGAGAACGAGTAACTTCTGAAGTATAAGCATCAATGGCGGAATGGAGTCGATGATGGGGTTGACATCCTTGTAAAACATGACCAACCCGAGCACGGAATGAGAAATACCGAGGAAGTCTTTCATATTGCACTCGGACTCTAATACTTTTGCCTGTTAACAAAGTATATGGAACCTCCTGTAGGAGAGGTTGAGTAATATCCATATGGATCCGCAGACGTGCAAACTGATTCCATTTTGAAACTTCACCTTCGGATGGACAACAAGGCTTTCCTAGTTTACACCCAATGCGACAAGCAGCATTAGCATTCAGGTAAGATAACGGGATACCAAGAAGATGCACCCAAAAGTCCGCATGAGAGAGTGTTAACAGTATTAGATCAGGATTAGGATAATCTTAAGTTGATCTCAATGTAAACTCCATCAGATTAGGATAAGTTTAGGATAATCACTCTCTCTAGAGTCCTATCTTATCCTACTTATTGTTACTTGTTCATCATCTTCCACGACTACAGATGTAATCGATCAC